AAAGTCTTGCGATGTAGCCCAGTAATCCTTTTTCCTCAGCCTCCTAAGTGGTAGGATTACAGGTGTGCAATACCATACTCAGAAATTTAAAACCAGATTTTAAAAGTAATAGTTTTTTTTCTAATTTTTAGACTTTTATATAAAAGAAAACTAAAATCACTATCAAAAAAATCAAAAGTATCAAACTGAATAGACAAGAGACATTTTTCCCTAAATGGATTATAATTTCTAACATTTATTGAACTCTCAGTACATGTAAGTAGAGTCTTAAATGCTTGGTATGAATAATCTCGTTCACCTCCTACAACAAAATGAGGAAGTAGATATTGTCAACCTCACTTTAAAGATATGAAAACAAATAACTAGCAACATTCCCAAGGTCACTAACAAGAAGAGATGCTATAAATAAGATTAAAATATCCTGCAGGTGGCACAGTTTAAAAAACAGAAGAGGTGCTACTGCTTATCATAGCCCTGTCTAGAGAAACTAGACTCTGGGTTACAGTTTCATTTTAACAAATGAAATCAATCTCTGGAGGACATAATTTAAATAAATTATAATGTAAATTATAAACTATAATCTAACTTATAAACTGCATGCATCACCACTGATCTTTGGATAACATCTACCCCTTTTATCATTTTTTTTGTAATTGAATAAAATAAAGTAAAATGTAAAAGCATAAAATTGTCAGGTGTTTTAAAATTGATGGCTTTAGTATATCTAATTAGTAGAATGTGGCTTCTTTCTAGGTAGAAACTGGAAATGCTTCATTTCCCTATAATATTACATATTGGAAATAGATGAAAATTTATACTTTCACAGATCTGCACATATTGACAGTGGTCAGTATTGTCATGGAACCTCAGATAGTTTCCTATAGACAAGCATATTATGAATTTATTTAGCTTCTTTTAATTCAGGGTTCATTTTGTCTTGGATTTTGTAGAGCCTTTCAAGCCTCACAGTCACTCCTGATTTCCAAGGCTGGAACAAGAGAAAGTCTTCTATTTGTGCAAAACGTTACATTGTACAGTTAGACACAATCATATGGTGTTTCAGTTAAGCATATTCCAGATACAAGATGGTGGTCTCATGTACTTATAATGAAGCTGAAAAATTCCTAACATATAGTGACACTGCAATCAGCATAATATCACAGTACAAGTGTTACTTGTTTGTGATAACAATAGTGCTTTTTCTCAGCAAATACTGGACATACAATTGGGTAAAGTGTGCAATATTTGATAAGAAAAACAACTATGATAATGTTTTATGGACTTACTGTCGGAGTCGCTCCCGGCCGGCAGGAAGAACACACGACAAGATCTGGCAGTGGCTAGGCTCTCTTTATTTTCCTTCTCCGCACAGTCTGCCCCGGGATTCTTCCCGGCCGAAGCCTCTACCGGTCCGCTCCCCGCGGCTCCTTTCGTGCTTCTCTTCTCCCGAGCGGGAGAGGCACTTGCTTATATGCAGGCACATCATCCAATCAAAGCGAAGCGGGTAATGCAAGCTAATTGGCTAACATCAATTGTTGCTAGGCAGATTATTCTGTGAGGCAGGCTGTTTACGCGGCAAGGACACCCAGGAAGCAGGACACAGGCGCCATCTTGGCGCCCTCGATGGGAGGGGTAATCTAGCTCAGGCTTTGCTCTTTCCCACAGGCCCCATGGCTGTTATGCATGGTGGCCTAGCATAGCCGCGGCTCCCAACAACTTACTACATTTTAGTTGTTACTGAAAAGCATACCAAGTTTCCTGTAAAACCATGTGTCATATTATGCTGGCCATAGGTCTCATAGAATCTGTGCTCACTGCATGTCCTGACTGTATCAGGAGCTCACACAGAGATTAAGTCATCTAGGGTTGTGTACGTACATTCTACGCTGAGGACAAAACTCACCTTCAAATGGACCTCCGTCATCAAGTAATACAAGATACAGTCATACACATACATCATTATATATAATATTATATATTGTGTGGCTTTGATTTCTGTACCCTTCATGATTAGTAGTGTTAAGGAATTTTAAGATGTTTTGCCTATTTGCATGTCTTAAGTGAAATGTCTATGCAGGTTATTTGCCCATTCTATTTTTGGCTGTTGAGTTCCTTTTTAAATTTTGATATTTTATCCCTTATCTGATGTTGTACTAAAGTGGTAAAAAACTAAAATGCAAAGTTATAAAGATAGTTACTAGCAAAAATAGTTAAAAAGATAGTTATTAGCAGAATTGTCATTCTGTGCTGTGTTTATTACCCTAGTAACCACGTAATTGAAGCACCAACCACATAGTTATAGACTAACTGATGTGATCATGCTGTTCTGTATGTGTCATCCCCTCCCCCCAGTAACCTGTTTGCTGTGTCAACCTTTGTTCCCTTTGTGAGAGACAAATGTTCTTGGAATTGACAGACCAAGGGCTATGACTTGGCTAGCCACCCACTGTGAAATGCATCTGACCTCAAGCAAAGGAGAACAAAGACCCATCTTGTTTCTGTTTCTCATCACTATGTACTTAATGATCAATGAGCTAATCATAAAGGAACTATAAAAATTAGTCAAAACTCTAACCCAGTTGCACAGCTTTGCAAACTCTATCTGCACTGTGTTGCTGGTGCCAGCTTAAATAAAAGTGCTCTTTAAAAAAAAAAAAGACGTCTTGTCCTTTTTTTTTTTTTTTTTTTTTCTTTTTCTTTTTCTTGAATAACATCTTGGGGCCTGAGAAACAGTTTATAAATACTCTCATTTTATAGACTGTCAGTTGACTATATTGATTATTTCCTTTGCTGTACATAGCTTTAGTTTGATGTAATCACATTTGTCAGTTTTTGATTTTGTAGCCCATTTTGAGGGGTCATATTTAAAAATCTGCCTGGATCAATGAATTGGAGCATCTTCCGTGTTTTTTTCTAGTGCTTTCATAATTTCAAGGCATACATTTAAGTTTTTTATCTAATTTTGAGTTGACTTTTGTATACAGTGATAGAGACATTCAGCTTCATTATACTACATGTGATAAAAACAGCACCATTTATCAAAGAGACTCTTTTTCTCCAATGTCTCTTGCATTTGTTGAATGCAAAGTTCAGTTTTCTATAAATAAGAAAATAAGCAGAATAATTTCTATGATCTCTATTCCATTCTATTTCTTTCTTTCTTTCTTTCTTTCTTTCTTTCTTTCTTTCTTTCTTTCTTTCATCATTCTTTGTTTTCTCTTTTCACTTTTTCAGTATTGGAAATTGAACCCAGGGCCTTTACACTGAGCTACGTATGTTCACAGCCCTTTTACTTTTTACTTTGTGGCAGTCATTAAGTCACTAAGTTGTCTAGGTAGGCATCATCTGTGATCCTCTTGCCTCAGTCTCCCAGAATGCTGGGATGATGGGTGTGCACACCATGCCAGCCTATGTATCTGCTTTTATGATAGCACCATTCCATTTGTGATACTAGAGATCTGTAGTATACTTTGAAATCAGGCAGTGTGATGCCTCCGACTTTTTTTTAAGCTCAGAAGAGCTTTGAGTCAGGCTTTTTGTGGTTTCAAAACACTTTATGAGTATTTTCTTTCTAATTCTGTAAAGAATGCCATTAGTATTTCGATATCTTTCTTTTACATGTGTGTTCTCTTCATTTTTTTATGGATACTTTGTAGTTTTGATTGTACACTTCTTTCATTCCTTGGTAAAATTTATTCCTAAGTATTCCAATAATCTCAACACCTAGCACAGACCCAGAGAAAATGCAGTCACTGTGTCAAAAGAACTTCTGCACCCACGTGTTCATTGCAGCTGTACTCACAAAATGCAAGTACAAGGCCAACCTAAGTCCATCAGCAGATGAATGGACAATGAAAATAAGGCACATATATTGAATGCAATATTGTCAGCCATAAAAAGAATGATATTCTTCCTCTTGTGGCAACCTGATGTAAAAGAGGGTGTTAAAGTGAAATAAATCAGACACATGAAAGAATTGTTACACACCTCAAGTTATGTGGAAATTGAAAAGTTGATCTCTGAAACAGAGAATATAATAGTCATTATCGAATCTGGAAAGGGTGTGAGAGTATTATTAACATGAATAGGAATGCATTCAGCTAGAAGAGTAACTTCCAATTTTCTATAGTACAGTAGGATAACCATGGTTACTATGGTAACCATGGTTATCCTATTGTACTAATAATTAATTCTATATTTAAAGTAGCTATTAATTCTGCTACAATTAACAATTAATTCTATATTTAAAGTAGCTAGAAGAGAGAACTCACTTCCTAACACTAATAAGGAATAAATCTTTGAGGTGGTGGATATCCTACCTTGATTTGGGCATTATATATTGCATATATTTATTGAAATGTTACACTATACTCTACAAATTGGTATACTTATGCAAATTCTTTCTGTGTGAAAATATTTTAAAAGCATCCTTTGTGGTAGTCAGAAAAATGTAGCAGTATCAGGATAGTAGGAGTTACAGACAAGCAAACGGACGATAAGCAACAGAGAAAAAGGATTTTTCTTTCTATTGGAATAATGGAGGTTACTGGTGAAGAAAATGATGGAGAAAGACAGCCTCTGCGAAAACAATGAGTAGGAAACTTGTATAATACATAATCTTAGATAAAATTCAGTTTAAAGATTGATTATCTTAAAATAGTCACACAAGGAAGAGTCATTCTGGACCAACACTATGGACAAAACGGGTGCCACAAACAGAAGTCCAGACTGTGCTGGCTGATTAAAGATGAGAATCTCATCCTAGAATGTTACAGGTGGATTCTTGAGGTACTCAAGTGTTTAAATCTGCAAAGGGCAATTAAAAGTTTCTGCTGGAAATCTGCAGTGTACAGTTAGAATGTATGTATTAAGTGTATAAAAAGTCAAAATAATCATTTTTAAAATTATGAGTTACGTGATCTATAAAGCACATTCTAATAGAAAAACAGCTGGTAACTAAGGGAACTATATATTTAGATACATCACAATTGCAATAAAAACAAGTGAGATAAAGCTGGTCACATGTCTTTTGGGAATGCCTTGTCTTGAGATGATACCACTAAAGTGCTTTGTGCTAGAAATATCCCCTTATCGTTGGCAGGCAAGGTTGTTTCTCTGGGTGTGACATTTCTTTGTGGCCTGCTGGAAGCTGTCTTCATTGTCCTGGACATTGTGAAAGGCTGAAGCAAAGAGCTGGACCACCTGCAATAGCTGCATATAAATGGGAATACCTCACCTATTTACTGAAATATTTTTGCAGAAAATTCTTCAGGAGCAATTGGTCCCATATCCATCTAGTATATCAATTAAATACAAAAAAATCAGGAAAATGAATTCGATTTATCGTCCCTTGGCACAAGAATACAAAAGGCAAGAAAATGAGACAAAGACAATATGTTCTTCTGGGCTTAGAGGGAGTCAGTAAATTGGAGTTCCAGTAGAATGTGGACCCCTGATTATGTGACCTGCACACCAAGTTTCCTTGAAGCCCCTCTAATTCTGGAGCTATGTTGTGCCAGGACTGTCACCTCAGTGGAAATCTTCAACTGCAATCATCAAGGAGAAAAGCACTGGGAAGAATTTTAGCCCATTGTTCAGAACCCAGAATTTGAGTAAAAATCTCGGTAGGGAAAAGAACTTGAGAAAGCCATCTGTGGCTCCCAAGTATGTTTACTCGATGAAGAAAAAACATATTAAGTCATTTCAAGTCTGTCAAAGATCAAAGAGCAATTAAACAAAATGAGCTGGCAAAACTTCAAAATCTGCATCGGATCAAGTCCCAAGTACTGAATACCAAAATTACTGGGTAAAATCCTAAGAAAACAAAAATGTTAAATCTTAAGTTGAATACTTCCTTATTTGCCAATGCTAGTCATTTAACTATTATAATTTTTTATCATATGGGAAAGGAAAAAAGAAGAAAGGAAAATATTATATATATATATATATATATATATATATATACATATCAAGATACATAGCTATACTACTAATTTCCTGTTAATTCACCAATAGTTTCTTCTGTTATTGTTTGATCATTTTATGCCTAGATCTTTTAATCTGAACAACTACTCCTAAGATAGCAACATCCAATATATTCTAGTATTGATTTCTTACTGTTTTTCTGAAATTCTGTATTATTCCTAACATTTTTCTGTTTTGTTTTTTAAAATAAAAGTAAAATTTTACCTCATCTGTAAAGTATAATATTTAGATTGGAAGATTACTGAAAATGATAGAATTAATGCATATAAAATGCATTGTTATCCATAAGTTAACTTAGTTATCCAATTTTCTAATTTTTTAAAAACTTACTTTCATTACATTCTGAGTGAGGGTATTAAAATCTCTTATGAATTCCAGTCACTTAACTACTTACTTACTTAAAGTGAAACTTCACTGAAGTAACCTTTAAAATGTTTTTCATAGAAATTGATTGCATCTTTATCAGATATATGCAAGTCAGTTTGGTGATGGGTAGAAGAATTGGATAATGAAAAGGATTGTTTGTCTGAAATGTTTATAGGTACAAGATGGTATTAAAGGGAGGGGAGAGTTTTCCCAGAGGTGACAAAGGCAGAAAGTGGAGGTAAAGGTTACTGATGCTACTTCTGGGAATGTTAGAGTAATGTTAGAATGGCTTCCATGCTACGAGGGAGCTCACACAGAAACTAGAACACTGCAGTGGAAATAATCTTGTAGCAAAACCAATACCTAATTTCTGGAGATATTTCCGCAGTTTCTGACTTTGCAATTCCTTAGCCAATCTCAGATCTTCAGAGTGCCAATGTTCTTATTTCTGAAGTTTAAATTTTAGTTATTTTAACTTAATGCAAAGATAGGAAATATTATATAAAATGACACTTTAAATATATGATGTAGATGTGATGTACTATAAATTAGATTGGCAGTCTTCCTGTGTGTGTGTGTGTGTGTGTGTGTGTGTGTGTGTGTGTGTGTGTGTTTCATTTTTTTGTGACATGGTCTCACTATGCAAATTCAGGCTGGCCTCCAACTCACTCTGCATCCAAGGCTGGTCTCCACCTCGCAGTGATCCTCCTGCTTCAGCCTCCTGAGTTCTGGGATTGTAGGTGTGTGTCCCTGTCCTTTATACCTTTTGAATGAAGTTTTCTTGGTGCTTTGTTTAGAAGACAAAGAGGAATACAACCAAGACTGAAGTTGCATTGCACTTGCCTGGGATGTTCTCATGTTAATTAATTAAGCAAATACTTATTGAGTACCTGTACCAGGTATGCTCTTAGGCACAATGGTAAATAAGGCTGAATGATACAAGGTTTCTGAGGCTTATATAGTATGCTCTGCCCTGCTGCAGAAGAAGCTGTAGGCTGCCTTGAGATGCAGAGAGAATCTGGCCAGGCAACTCTATGGGAAGGGACAAATGATTTGGGAGAAAATGATGAAGAGGACACTAGACAAAGGGATAGAGTCTTCTACAGGGATAAAGGGACACATGTCCCTAAAACCATGGGGTGGTTGTATGTTGGAGGCACCAGCTCAGTGGTGCTAGAATAAGGATGCAAATGGCACGAGTTAATATTGGGAGGAGTCACTCTCCAATCTACAGAGGTGACTGCAGACCACACTGGGCATTTTCATACGGTGGGAGAAGGTAGTATCTAGATAATCATTTTGATGTGTGTAGTGGCAGAGGACTATGAAAGAAGCCACAGAGGGGTCCTGTTAGTTGGATTTGCTAAGGGTTAGATGTATTCAGGTGATAAAATGGGGCAAATGGGCAACTGTGTCCCTGGCTTGTGTATTTTGATGGATAACAGTTGTGTTTGGTGTCAGGTTTAGTGAAAAGAACACATGCCATAGGAACAGAATAATTAGAAAACATATGTATTATTATGTAAGAGGACTTCTTTGTTAGGTTCAAGGTGATGGGAAAAGAATCACTACTAATCATTCTTTTTACTTGTTCTGGGAATCAAACTCAGGACCTTATGCTTACCAGGCAGGTGCTGTGCCACTGAGCTAAATTCCCAACCCGATTACTAATCATTCATTATATTTTTCCTAGTCGTTCTTGTAAGAGCCATGTCAGCAATGGCCGTCTGTACACTGGAGAGTGGAGGATCCAGTATGTACTCCACTAAGAAAACCAAAGTTAAAGTGAAAGAAGAATTAAGACTCAGAGCCAGTCCAAGTGTGAAGGCACAAAAGCCCGCTGGAAGGCTGCCTGTGAAAGTCTTTGGAAGGCTGAAGAAATCGGGAACTTGGAGCCCAATATCCAATGCAAAGGATGCACTTGTTCAGAAAGACTGAAGTTCTTCAAGCAGGTCAATTTCCGTCTTTCCCTTCTTACCCCGTCTAGGCTTCAGATCTATTGGTGGCAGCCAAGTTTAATCATCCTCCCTCAGTTTGTTGGCCTGCATGTTAACAGTGCAAGACCCTCGGAATTTAAGATATTCAGATTGGTGCACCGTCATCGCAAAACATGGGTTCCATTTCACTACAATAAGTCCAAAGGGATTGTGATAACTAAGGGAACATGTCAAGTATGCACATGGAACTTCAGGTGAGGCATTCAGAGCATCACCTTGGTGTAGTAATCCAGTCCTCACAAAAGGGTATAGGAATTTGAACAAAAAGATATATAAATTGGGTTTTATGAGATAAAACATAAAATTAAAAGGAAAGAACATGAGCACCACATTTCAGACAAAACTAGATATATGGATATGGCTTAACCTGGTACACTATCATGATTTTTGCAGAGTAAATGTCCATATATTTCATAGTTGTATGCTCAAGCAATCCCAATTCAGTTTGCTGAAGTAAACTGGGTCGACTGTGCTTGTTCTGTAGCTTAGCATTATTCATGCTATAATCATTTTACTTTTTAATGTTCTTTTGGTTTGTTCTTCTTTGCAAACACTTTAGATTATTTAAAAAGAAATACAGTCCATTTTAGAGAGTAGACTACTTACTAAAATTGTGCATCAGTGCCAAAAATATCATTAAGCAAAACAAATGGAAAAGAATACAAGATGTTTTGATGTAAGAACTAACAAAATAGTATACCACTGTAATAAGGAAACTCTTTAAAATGCTTTTTCAAGGTTAAAAATTGAGTCTCAGGGCAGAATTTCTAACCACTTAACACTGAAAATCATTCTAATAAATTGGTTCTAAAAATGCATAACTTTATAGTCAGGTCTTTCTCTGCATTTCACTATCCCTCTCTTGAATGCCACAAAACAAAGTCATTAAAATCATTAAAGGAGCGTTTATGCCTTCTCCTCTCTTTTTCTGCCTTGCTCTCGTTTTTTTGTTTTGTTTTGTTTTGTTTGTTTGTTTGTTTGTTTTTTATTTAGTTCTCAGGTCTCAGTTCTTCCAGCCTTCTTTCCCCTGTATTTTTTCTGAATTCCACGCTGGCCTCTTACCTTATCTCATTTACATTTCAATTACACCACCATGTATCCCCTCTGGGACCTGTAAGTTTGCAAATTCTTCTATCATCTGGCTCAGAATGTTCTCTCTTAAAGATTAGGTGCAAGGTGGTGGGGGAAATGTCACTTCTAACAATTCATCCCATTTTCCCTTCTCATATTATAGCAGCATAAGACAGGCACAAAGTCACTTCTGGTACCCATGTCTCTAGCCTGTTCCTGGGGGGGGGGGCGGTCTATCAACAGGCACCCGACATTCCCCCACATATATGGTGCACACAGAAAGCCATCACTGAAACACAGAAAGGGAAAATGCTTTCAGGTTTGCCTGCTAACATTTTTCCTGCTCACAGGGAATTCAGTTTTTATTGATCCAGGCTGAGAAAAGACAGGTTTCCTTATCAGCAGAGATTAAAAAGTGGAGAGTTTGGGAACTGAATTCACCAGCGTTGCCCAGTGAGCATTTTATCATTTTTTTCTTTCTCTGTAAGAAGTACCAAAAATGAGGACTATTCTCCAGAGAGGTATTCTTGCCACTTTTACTCTTGTAGTTTAATATTTGACGAACTGCTACCAAAGAGATGAGCTATTTTGCCACATGCTCATATATACAAATTTTCTTTTTCTATTTAGTTCTGCGAGATAAAGTCTGTCTGTGTAGTTCAGGCTGACCTTGACCTCACTGCACAGCCAAAGCTAGCAGACTCACCAGGATTCTCCTGCCTCCTGTTGGGATTACAGTCATGAGACACAGCATCAGCCTACATATGCATTTTAAAGGAGGACATTCATATTATTAAATGTATCCTACTACCACTGTCAGTAAGAGTTAAGGATAGCTTGTGAGGACAAAGTAAGATCACCCTTCTGGTGGCTGGGGATTTAGCTCAGCAGCATAAGCACCTGCCTTGCAAGCAGGCAGTCGTGCGTTCCATCCTCAGTACCGATTTTAAAAAAAAGAAAGAAAAGATCACCTTCTGTACACAGAGCATGCCTTAAGCCTCCAGGAAAATTGTGACACAGTGAGATTTTACACTTCCAGCAGCAGAAGTCAAGTTGAGGTCTTTAAAAACCCTGCTTGGGGCTGGAGAGTCTCCTGCCATCCTTCCAAACATTCAGCTTTTTCTTCTGCCTGCTTGGAGCCCTGGGTCTGATCTCACCACATCCACATCCTCAGGCATAGAAACTCCCACAAGGAGAGGCTGGGTCAACTCCCATCATGTCTCACTCATGTGCATTCCAACCTCCAAAGGCCTCTGTGTGGTGCTTTTTCTGATCATCTTTTATGTCCCATGGCTTTTGGAGGTTGTTAGGTATACCTTCTTGGAATTAAAATATTTTTGCAAAAGTATCTACCATTTTGCCCTCTATTTCTCCAAGCACTTACTTAGCTTTTGCTCTATGTTATATTAGCTTCAGTTGAGGACACTTCTCTCTCTATTTCCCTCAGCTGCTTTCATGACCAGTACTGGACAGTGGCATACAGATATGAATCAGAGTCCTCTGCAGACCTTACTGCTGTTTGATAGAACATTCATTTTCCAGTTTTCCATCTTACGCTCTCAGGCTGTGCAATGTCTGGGCTATTTTATTGTTTTCATTGATTGCTGCTGGAATATTGTCTTCGGTTCTCTGAATATTTGATGCTTTACAACTGTAAATCTCTTGCTATGCTTCTTGACAAGGTCTACACTCACACAAATGATCCACACAATAGTCTACTTTTCTTATTTCTGATATTTTTCCCACTGTTCCATCACACATTCTTAGCGGCTCCTTGATCTGGTCACTAAAAAATTACTGCAATATTTCATAATGTCAGTTCAGAAAATGTTCCTCTCTGATGATGTATCTCTCTAGCTTACTCCTTGTAGTTCCTCTACATCAATCCTATAATACTGCTAAGACTTTCAAATCTGTGATCTAAGCACCTAGCTTAAATTTCATTACCAATGATACCCACTTCCCACAAAATAACTTCTATCTTTCAACTCTTTTAGTTGGTTATAGCACCAGTCAGGTCAATTCCAACTCTCGGCAGTCAAAAGTAGCTAAGGAAAAATTACACAACCTTGCTTACATATCTCACTTTTAGAACATGACTAGTAATCTCAAGTAGACCCTCGTGGTTGCCAGGCAGTCACGACGTATTCCTCATGTCCATTTACTTATTCATTATACTGCATGAGTAATTTGTATTTTCTCTTCAAGCAGAAGAAAACATCAAGTTCTTTCCACATCTGCCTGTTAACATGCATCTTTCCCAGATGCTGTGCTTAAACTTCTATTACTATTTATGACCCAAATCTTTTTATTTCTCTTTGGCCTCACTCAATGTGTAAATAATTACACTATTATTTCTTCCATCCTAATAAGATATCCAAGTAGGAGGGTGTTTCCTTTTTATCTTTATAGGAAAATATGCTAGAAGGATTGTCTTTTACGCTGTTTCTGATTTCATCTCTCTTCATTTGAACCTACTTTGGACTCCTCCATTCCATTAGCAGAGTTCTTAGGAAAAATGGTCTGAGACAGGTCATGAGAGAATATCCATGGTGAAGACATCTACAATGAAAAAAATGAGACATTAATAGATTATTAATATTTTTAAGGTAAAGGAATCTGTAGTGATTGTATAGAATAATATTATTTTGAAATATACAGGTTATTTAAAGACAGTAGAGCATTGTGTCAGGAAATGTATACATATATTTTTCTCTCAATATGCACACAAACATATAGATTTAATGAATAATATAAATTATATATACATGTACATATATACAGATATATACATTTATATATATACAGATGTATATACATATATACACCCATGTAAAAAGATTAGACATCTCTATATGATATATATAATAGATTTATACCTCTATATCTACCAATAAGTTACTGAATAAATATGAAAAATATTAATATAGAATGGATAAAAGAATTTTCTGATGTCTTTGCAAATGTTCTCTGGGTTGACAGTATTAAAATAATTCTTACATCCTTCCTATAAAGTTTTAAATTCTACAAGTCCTCAATATTCTTGCTGTCTGATCACATGTGCTGTATATTTTTGCTCCTCTGATCCACCCTTTCCTTGTCCATTCTGATAAAGTGCTCCAGAAAGCTAGCCTTTCTGATGATACCAAGAGTTTCTTTGTTCTCTGGCAGCTGAGTGGGCTTGGACAATGGAATATACTATTGAAAGACAGAAAAATTGGAGGAAAGAGAGGTTAGGTATTTATTTCTCTACCTCTCTTTTAGTCGTCTTTCCATTGCTGTAACAAAATACCTAAAGAAGTCAGCTTAAAGGATATAAGATTTATTGTGGCTCATGGTTTCAGAGATTTCCCTCCATGGTTATTTGGCTGCCAAGCTGTAGAGCAGAAGCACACGGTGGTGGAAAGGGATGCCTGGACAAAGCTGTTTACTTGGTGGAGGGCACAAAGAAGAGAGGAAGAGGGAGAGGGAAAGGAAAGAACACCAGAGGCAAGGTATAGCCCTAAGAAAACCAGTTCTCTCCAACTAAGTCCTATCTTGTAAGCTTTTATCACCTCAGAGCAATGCATTCTGTTGTAAACCCATCAATGGTCCATCTGCTGTGGAGCAGATGGAGCCCCCAACAGTCAGAGCCCCCAGTCACTTTCCCAAATCCCATCTGAATGCTGCTGCACTGGGAACCAAACCTTCCACACATGAGTTTTCAGGTGAAATTTCAGGTTCAAACCATAAGACTCCTTGGTTAAGTCACCATGGTGGGGCTCTACTTCTGTGTTACAACTCGAGACCTTGTTGAATACCTTTCTCCCACCCCACCCCCATCCTTTTCTGGGTCTAGAAGGACAGTTTCCTTCATGTTGTTAAAGTTTGGACCTCTCTAAAGAATTCCCTCGACTCTGCTTCATCAAATGCTCACTTCTCCTATGGGACTGTCCCTGGAACTGAATGGATCCTCATCTCCCAATGTTCTGCCCTCACACATCTGCTTCTTCTACATTGGTCTCCATGTCCATCTTTGGACGTGCCATACACACCTTTGCCCTTTCTCCCTAGAGTGTTTGTCCCCCTTGCATGCTGTGGCTTGACTCCTCAATTTTTGTTTTACAGTCTTTGATCTAAAGTCACCTTTTAAGTGGGATCCAAAATTTCAACCCCTGACATTGCCTATTGGTGTAATTCATACCAATTATTTGCTGACAGCTTATATTTTATTCATTTATTTTTTTCAAACTTGTTTTGTCCTTCAGGTGATAAGTCACAGGGTGGCAGGAATCTCTCTCTCTCTCTCTCTCTCTCTCTCTCCCCCATCCTCTTGTACACTGCCATATTCTTAAAAGAAAGAACAGAGCCTGGCATGTAGTCTGAGCTCATTTGATATTCATTGTTGAATAAACAGTCTCTCTCCGGAGTATTGGGAATCAATGAATTTATTGATGACTGACTGACTTATGGACTGCATAAACAAATTGAATTCATGAAATGAGGGAACTGGGAGCTGAATGGAACTTGAGAGTTGAAAGATCATTTACTCCAAGTTTCTAATCTCATCAATGAGAAGATTTGAAGCGGGGTTTTAGTGACTGAGACTCAGTGATTCTCATACCATAGTTTGTGTTGATGCAGAAAAGGAAGGTCAGAATGAAGATTCAAGGTCTCTAGCTTCTCAGAGGAGGTCTTATATTTGTCAATTTGGTTTAGGAGAAAGTAAAGGAATATGCTTCAGATAATTTTAACCTTTACTTTATACACAGACATTAACCAACACTGGTGTAAACCATCCTGAGTCTTAGATTAGTGTCACTTTTATTTTAAGGACTTAAGCGTCTGGAGATCTAGCTTTAGGCTAGTTTATTGTCAAAACCTCTGCAACTGGTCTGTCAACTGTTACATATTACTTCTTACTGTGTGACTAACAGGAACTTTCTTAAGCCACTAAGCTGCTGAATCTCATAAAAATACCGGCCCCTTTCCCCCTACCACTCCTGTGGGTACGGAAATAACTTTCTCTGTTCTATTGCATTAAATCCCCATTTCCTAATAATCCATAGGTTGGGAAACTACGTAAAAGAATATTTGTGCCTAGCCCTGACGGGAACAGGGTAAAATTTTTTCCAAACTATTTCTGATTTTAAAATAGATTTAATAAGTAGCAAATCACTTAACTTCCATCTCTTAACACTATTTCTTATTTAAATGTGACTCAGAAATAATCTTTATTTTTGTAATAGGAAAAAGAGATTCCGTTGATGTGGTTCATTACAAACCATCTGCTGATTTTGAATCATTATATACCTTATAGTGAAATATAATATTAAAAAACAAACGAACATAATAATTAAATTTTTTATTTCTTGGTCTTGTTATCCTATTTAGTTCAGCAAACTGAACTAAAAGAGCTTGGCTGAAGGGACGTAACTCTTATTTGGAGTTGAACTGAGATCATATTGATTCCAGTTGTTCAAACACTTGTGGTTATGTTACATCCATAAAGGAAAGTTATCATTTCTCTGGAAGAGAAAACTAAGTGTTCTTAAATTTATCATTATAGCACTGCTCCATAATAAAACCTATTCGCAAAACTAAATGCCTGTTTTAGAATGCAAATTCTTTTTCTGGTTACTTGTGTCTTTTCATACTATCTGGGGAATTAAATAACTGGCTTCCTGGAGAACAATTTAGGTGACAGGGAAGTAAGTTATTATATCCAGAGTGAGTTTCAGTACAACTAAGGTATTAAAATAGTCATCTATTTTGAGATAAGTTCATGTATATCTGTGCCTGCAGTGTGACTATTAGAACTATGGCATACCTAGTTCGTCAGAAACATGTAGGCCTGCCTTTCCTCAACTGTGGTGTACAGTACAGGATCGAATGGGAACCCAGGACGATACAACTTCATAATTCTTTTAGGCTCCCAGAATCTTAACCTATAAAGTGAAGACGAGTTCCCAGATTTATCCTTAATACAGGAGGGTTACTGTGGAGTCATCTGAATAACCATGGTGCGGTCCAGTTAAAGACCTGCCCTGTGATGGAAAGCCACCTTTTCCCACTGTGCTTTGCCGCCACCTGCCGGTGGCTGCTCTGAGTCAGATGCTGCGATGCTCAGGATGGGTGTTCGGCCGGTTAGTTAGAGAAATGATACTGCAAGTGACTGTAGAGACAAACTGTGACGATTTCAAGGAAGAAGAGAAATAGTGATAAAGAGGGAAGTAAATGAAAATACTTCCATGAGAATGAGAAGTGACAGAAAGCCTCTAAGAAAGTAACATTCAAAACATTCAAAACGGGAGGATTGTAGGAGTCAACTTTGTATGTAAATGAGGGAAAGGAGCACAGGTGCAGAAAACCTCCGGACTACAGCAGCAGTGTGTGCAGACACCCGCAAGCAACTCGGTGGGGCTGAGGCGCTCGCTGTTACATGGAGGAAAGAGAGTGGAGCGGTAACCAGAAATGGAGGAGTCTTAAGAGATTTGGAGTTTTCCAGTAAGGCAATCATTTTTTGCAGAATGAACAAGAGTAAACTCAAGTTAGGAGACTTTTGTGACGCTTCAGACAAGGAAGTCTGGTGCTAACAGCATAACTAACATTGAGGATTCACTTTGTCTTGGTTTCATTCCCCCCCCCCCCCTTTGACTCTTTGGTGGCTTCTAGACCTGCCCTGTGTATCGTGAGTGAAGAAAATTAGGTAGTTACAAGTTTGAATGGTTGAACTGAGACTAAAGCTTTAGATTTTGCTTTTGTTTTATTAAATAGAGAGTCAGTCCACTTGCAATCCTGGTATTCTTCGTGCCATTTTAGGAAATGCCACGGCCTTCCTGCAGGCAAGAGCTTCCTCCCTCTCTCTTAGGTTCATTCAGCTACCATGAGAAGAGAAAGGAACAGAGAAGGGATCAGGATGGAAATGTTTCTCCTCCCTGTTCTGGCAGGATGTTTATCTACCTGTCTGTCAGATGTGAGCAAGAAAAGTGCACAGGGCATTATAATGTAGTGGCTAAGAACACAGGCAGACTGAACACTGCCTGACGTGTATCGCAGCCCTACCGCTTACCTGGGTAACCTCTTTGCTCCTCAGTTCTGCATCTATAAAATGAAGATAAAAATAGAGCTTGTCTTAGTCACTCTTCTCATGTTGCTGAAGCAAAGTACCCAATATCCAAAATTAAAGGGGAAAGATTTATTATTATTATTATTATTATTAATTTGCAAATCCCTCATGGTGTATAGAGATTTCAGTCCATAGAGAACTGATTCCAAAGCAACGTGGCCTCACAGAGGAGAAGCAGTTCATGTCAGGCAAAGATCGGAAAGCAACAAGAGACACTCACAGCTCTTTCTATGCTTTGTATTTCATCCGGGTTACTTAGGGCGGCTAGCACACAGCCCCTTAATCCTGCTGCCCTTGATTCCAATACTGCATCAGGAAACAATTCCACCATCACAGACTCTAAACCCAGCCACCACTGAAAAATTTCCACCTATGACATCATAAGGCTTTAAGGGGACAAGCCACAGCAGAGTCCAATTCAGAGTGACTGGAATTATGAAATAAATTAGGATATGGATTTATAAGAGTGTCTGATACATAGCCAATAATAAACATATTAGTTTTTATAGTTATGAAATATTACTGTTTAATAAATACTTTGAGAACAATAAAACTGTCACTAATAAGCAGGTTATATATTTACACTGGGAATAAATGCACAATGTTTTGACATTTTCTATCAGCTACCTGGAGATGAGTCATGTACTAGAAATATCTCCTCTCACTTGGACACCCAAAATATCCAAGTTCAGCAAACAGGAGAAAATGAAGAGGTAGGAAGATAAAATGAACAGAGTGTTTCTACTTATATTCATTTTTATGAGAAACTCTAAGGTAGAAGCTTTTAGTGGACACTTTTTAGTGTGTTGGAATAACCTTTATATTTAAAAGCATTTTGATGTCTCTAATCAATGCATTGCAAATAAGGAAGAAAATAAATAAAGGGCCTTGTTGGTTACTAACCTTAAGTACAAATATAGACATAGAGTCTTTATTGAATTTTGTCTTAGACGTTTTGCACAATATTAAAAAATAGTTTTGTCAGGTTAGCTGAATTGGATTATAAACAACAGTCTGCAAGAATAATCTTTCCCAAGATGATATTCTGATTTTTTTTTCTCCCCTTTTTAAACTAGCAGAACGCTCTGGCAAAAGCCATAACATTCAAGAATAACTGTTAATGACATAGCCAGATGTGTATTAGAAAACCAACTGTCTGGCCAAACCACCAAACCCTCCAAAGAGGGACAGTGAGCTCAGCAGGTAGGGAAAAACTTCCATCATGTGTGATGTATGGTAGGAATATTATTATGACTCAATTAATGCCAGTCTGTATTTCCCGTTGGATTTTTAAGCTTACAGAAATGAGCTTCTCCCAGTGCTTTAGAAGATAATGTACATACCTAGTAAGTCACAGCTTAGTATGTATCCTTTACGTAAGTCACAGTCTGGTATTTGTGTCCCAGCAGAGCTCCTTTGTTTGCAGGCAGTCAGCACTCAGTCGGTGATTCTGACATTAAGACAATACGCATTAGTCACTCCAATGTACTGATATTCAGTGAGTCATTATCCCATTGTTTTCTGATTAACAATTCATTTACAAAAAATTGCTGTTTGAAGATTTTTCTTTAAAGGAAAACAAGTTTATCCTTGCATTACTCCTCACATTCATTATATTCCAGGATCTTTCACTAGAGGGGGCCTTTGTGGGTCTTTCCCTTCTTACAGAAGAAAGAGGATTGATCTAACCAAGAAGTTATGGAACTTACTGAGCTCTCTCTGTCTCTGTCTCTGTCTCTATCTCTCTGTCTCTTTCTGTCTCTCTGTCTCTATCTCTCTCTGTCTCTCTGTCTCTCTCTCCTTCCTCTGTTGACATGCATTCTCAGCTGCCCCTTGTTCCACAGCAGCTTTTCTTGCCTTTGGGTATCTGCCCATTCATTCGCTCTCTGTCATGCAGTAATCTTATTACCTTAGCTTGTCTCAGTAAATTGGGTTAGAGGAGTGAGAGAGCTGTAGGTAGTTTATTTTGAAGAAAAAAGTAAATTCAGTTCAGGAGCACATGAATAAGTCCACTTAGGTATTATGTCCTCCCAGGCATTTGTGACTCAGTTATTCTAAGTCAGACAAGGAAATAAGTACATTGATTCTTTGGAGTTCCAATACCATCAGTATTAAAAATCAAAATCAAACTCTCTCTGAAAGATATCAGCTATAAGCATATGTCAAAATTTCATTTAGGGGCTGGGGATTTAGCTCAGCGGCATAAGCGCCTGCCTTGCAAGCAGGCAGTTGTGAGTTCGATCCCTGGTACCGATAAAAAGACAAAAAAAATTTATTTCATGCTTACCATGGCAGAAAAGGTTTTGAACAAATCAAATCACATGTGTCTTGGTGGGGGATATTCAATGAAAAAGAGAATGCAGAGGTACAAGTAAGTTTAGCTTTAAAAAAAAGAATAAAAGTGCAGTTCAAAACTGTTAGACTTGTGGCAGTCAGTTGGCACTGATCTTCCTACCTGAAAGTCTTAGTCTCCTTCATCTTCATTGGTAACTTGTTTAAACATCTCTTAAAACACTCACATTCTTCCAAGGAGAATGTAAATTACGGAATGTAAAGGTTATGTCTCATGCCCAAATGAGGACAAATATGGCTCTATCATTTTCTGTACTAAAAAGTTTCAATAATTGTTATCTAACTTTTCTTCCATATGATCCTTTCAAAGTCCTTTGTATACTCCCCTCGAAGGATACTTCCAATACTTGTCACAATGAATGCTAGAACATAATAGTCAAAATAACCGTATGCTAATCATTTGTTTTGTGACAGCTATTATTATAACTATTATCTTACTTATCAACTTATTTAAATCTCATAACACTGCAATGTAAACAGGTTATAGTACACACTGTTGGGTCCCAAACTGAGACCTTTCCACTGCACTGTACATTGACCCTTTTACCTTTTAGCTTATATATTTTTTCCTAAAACTATTCCTAGAATTTTGAATCCGTTCTATGTGTATATACTACAATGACAGACAATTGCGCTTTCAACCACATACTCCGAGATTTTAATATATAAATATTCTAGGACGAGGTATATAGCTCTGTAGTATAGTGTCTGCTTAGCAAGTTCAAGGTCCTGAGTTTGAGTCCTGGAATACATATATATATATATATATATATATCCTAGCTCTTCGACCCCTTAGATGGCATGGCTTGAGACCATGTATTTTACACTGGCTGTCAGTAGAATTAAGCACCACTTAACCACAGTAATAACTTGCTCAATAACACATACTCTTTATCAGCTGTCTTTACTTCCGTTTCTTACTTTCCTACTTCCCTACAGATTCAACCTGCTGCTCACAGATACCTGGTTTTCTCAGCACTATTTGCTAATAAGGCTGTCTTTACTCTAGAGTATGGTTTTGGCTCCTCTCTCAAAGAGCACATGAAGGAACCGTGACTCTTATCAACTCAGGTGAATGTCTGAAAGCCTGTATGTCTCTGTAATAACTTCTAAAGAGTTCTTGATCTCCATATATCAAAGGACAGGATTATTTTAAAGTTCAGGCTCAAGTCCCAATTTTGAGGCTGGCAGATTTACAAAGACTGGTGAATGAACAGCCTGGAGAATCCTCCAGGCTAATGACAAGGCCATCATAAAAGAGGAATGAGTTCCTGGGACACAGGGTGAAGCTATGTGGGTGGCTGTTTTTGAAACTTAGACTCCCAGATTTACTTTGAACTTTATAAGTCAGAAGAAGTGTCTCTGCTCATTGTTCACATCCATTTTTGGATTGTAAATCACTTAAAGACCTCCTATAAAGTATATATTTCTTATAATGAAACTGGCTGACCATGGGATCCGTCCCAATTCTCACTATTTCTATACTACTAGACTCAGACTCAGGATGTCCTGTGAGAAAAGCACTGTATCTACTTTGGAGGAAATGAATTATTAAAAAGCACCTCTGAACCTGGCTAAGCATATTGTCAGCATACCAAAGAGCATGCTATGAATAAAGTTATTTTACAGTTTGAAGCTTAGTGTTCTGGCATTGACATCCATAACCACATATAATAAGCTGTTGACAGAGCTCCTTAAAATTGGACAAGATGATGCTTGGAGAATATGAAATTCCATGAATGAGTATTGAGAAAAGGCTGGCCATTTAAGAATGGATTTATTGTGGGAGCAGGAGAAAAATTGATCATATTCTCCTGAATGTCCTCAAGGAAACTTTCCCTTAGTTTAGCTATTGAAATGCACTAATAAACAAGGACCTACTGTCTTCAGGAAAGATGGAGCATAAGATATACTCTGTAGGAATGTCCCCCTGGAGATGACAGGATTATAGACTAGTGAAGGCCAAGTGATACCCCAAAACTATAAGAGTGAGACTCTTCAGTATACTAAGCCTGCATTACAAAATCCATTGCTATTTGGATCATATGTCATGGTAGATAGATTCTGTCGTACTAGAGATTTCTATGATAGGTAAGGATGTCATGTGCAGATTTAACAAGCCCCAAGAGAAGAATCACAGCACAGATCACTCTCCTATTGTTTGCAGAATGACATGTCATTTGTAGCAGAAAACTATTCATCGCTTGTAATTTCCAACATGTTACTGGCCCTACCAGAAGCCAGTCATTGAACTATAGCACATTGGCTGGCTGTATGATGGAAATGGCAATGTTCATTTTTGTATTACCAGAAAAACCATTTTAAAAAAGATATAGAGGTAATGTAGAGTGTGGAAATGATAGTCCAGATCAGGCCAAAGGAAGCCGGCACAATAATAAAATTAAGATGACTCAGATTCCTTACCTAAGTTGCTTGTCTCTGCCACACTATGTCAGTTCCATAGCTCAGGCTTATCACTCTGCAGGGAGTCATAGGTATCTAAATGTAAGGGATGCAAGTTGTTACATTGGCAAAATTCAAAATGACATCGCTATGCTATAACCCAACTCACTGTAGGCCTGAAAGCATCAGTAAGTAAAATGCTCTCTGGGTGGGAGATCAGGCTGATGCAGCTGGACCCCAAATGCCATAGGTGTGGGAAGGAAGCAGTGTGAGGTAAGAATATGCATAGACTCTGGGCAGAGAAAACAGCTCGTATCCACCTGAAAAGAGCAATGCTTGAAAATTGAAGGTGGAAAAAAAGAGTTACTGAATTGGAATCTAATGTGCAAATCTTTATGCTCATACAAGGTTCACACACACTGCATAGTTACTGAACACATAGGATAGGATGATTTATTTCACATATAGGAAAGCATCTAGGTCTTGTCCATAGCAGAAAAATGCTTTAAAAATGCCTTTAAATGAAGTAAGCAGAGTATCAAGCATGGTTATTCAGTGTTCCCTTTTGCTAAGGCACCCATATCAGGCACCAGGGCTGAATGTGAACCCATCAATAGAAACAACTATGCTGAACCCCCAACATGGAACCATTCTTTAAGCAACTGAATGATTAACTGGTAGCCAGGTGAGTACATTTGACTTTTTGTAGCCTAGTGAGGATAACTATATGTATCTACTGAAATGGACATTCGTATGAGTGTTGTGTTTTCCATCCTACCCCTTAGCACCCTGATCAAGGTTACTATCACATGACACAGAATTTGAGACTTATCACCATGGAATCTCACAAAAATCACCTTGGATGAAACATGTGTAACACTGACAAATATCAGTTGGTCCCCACATATACATCATTAGAAATAAGTGACCAACCTAGTAGACTACTAGAATGGCCTCTTGAAGACATTGACAAGGAACCAGCATGGAGATTACACCTGCAAGGAATTAGGGTATAGTAGCAGCAGGATATATGTTGAATCATACCCACTGTCCAGGTCGGCATTTCCATTAAAATAAAAAATAAATGCTTTCAACAAAGCATAAATGAAAAATTCAAAATTATGCCGCTGCTACACTGTAACCTAACATAGTATAGGACTACAAACATCAGTAAGATGAAATTCTTCTGTGGGTGCAGAATTGTGACTGGTACACTCAGCCAAGAGGGAGACATGGCAGCCAGGCATGGTGGTACACCCTTGTAATCCTAGCACTCAGGAGACTCAGGTAGAAGGATCAGCTGCACGTTCGGGCACAGCCAACTTGAACTATACAAGGAGACCCTGTCTCAAAGAAAAAACAAAATGCAAAGAAAAGAAGAGGAAGCAGTCTGAGGTAATAGTATACATCGCTTCGTACCAGTGATCACTGGAGATCCTTGCTTCCTGCCCATTTCTACTTTAAAGTTCTCTGGATTACAGCCTGTGATTCTTCAGTAAATAGAATTAACTTTTATCAAATAACAGAGGCCAGGTTCCATTAAATCCAGAGCTATAATTTTAGCTTGGTCATTTTATATTTATCATACCAATAGATCAGCGTGCAAAAAAGATTCACTGTTTCAGAAAGGAAATTGACCGGCTTATCACTGACAGATAAGACTTGTTGCTACATAATTGGGATAATGCAGAGCATTAGGAATTCACAGGGTTCATTCAAGAACCATTAACTTGTTTAATGCCTCATGATGCTCATAGAAGGCATTACAACAAACTGACAGGAGCACAAAAAGAGAAAAAATAAGACAGAGAAAAAAGAATGAAGACCCTTCGAGGATAAAGACCTGGTTTATTCAAGAGGCAAACAACCAAGAAAGCAGAGGTATTCACCAGAGTGAAAGAGTTCACAAAACGGGGGTAGAAGAAATTATTAAATATCAAATTATCCTCAATAAATCTAATAGAGACCCTGTACCCCACACTAACGATACATGCAAAGGACTAGTATCTCAAAGAAATGACTTGGTTTATCTTCCTATATACCTGGCTTCATTTGGGATGGTCTAGGCAAGAATTTGAGTTTGCAGTGCAGGCTAAGAATCCTATCAGAGAAAAACAAGGTGAATTGTTAAAGGACCAGCTTGAGCTTACAAGTCTTACATGGAGAAAACTTCTGACAGCTTCTTAGGGTCTCTTCTCTTGCAGACCCTGGTAAAGCTGAGATAAACACAAAAGTCATGGTTAAAGTATCCCCATTGTTCTGTTCACTGACAAAACGAACAAGAAGAGAAAGTCTACCCTGGAAGAAAGGAGTCTTAATCATCCCTTTGTCCTATGACCCACAAGATTAGGCTGCTGAGAGGGCTTCAGTGAGCCCTGAGACTGAAGACTCTCACGGATGAGAAGTAAAAGTTGGATCAGTTCTGGTTACAGCTCATCTCTCTCAAACTCCCAGGCATACATGTATGTAAGTACCGTGCATGCATAAGAAGTGTCTATGTAAGACCAGTGTCTTCCATGACGTTCAATATTGTATTTAACTCAAATGCTTTTTCCTAATTAGCCAAATAGGTAAATCTCAGTGGTACAGTAAGTCTGGGTAGATTTTGCTCTAGCATCCCCAAAGTGAAGAAGATGGTGATGAAGTCTCTTTCTGTATACAAGTGAAGAGAATACAGAAGGGAAAGTAATCGATCTGAGAAGCATTACCAGGAAGCAAGCAAGATAAGGCAATCATTTGCCTCTGTGGTTCCTAGGGAGGATTAAAGGCAGTTAAGACTTGGGGATGATGTATGGTGATATTTTAATTATGTGGTCCACCATAGTTCAGGATAAATTTTATTTTATTTTTTTTCATATTTTAATACTAGATTTATTCAATATAATTTCTTTACAAACAAAAAAACCCCACAAACACCACGTTAATCTAAAATGCTCAAAGTTTCAAAACGCAAATTTTATATCACTGACTATACAATATAAGTCAAAAAGAAAAGCAGTGTGCATGTTGCCAAGGCAACAAGACTGGCAGATGAAATAGGGGCTCCATGATGTCTATAAAACTGGCTTTCAAATTGCTCACCAACATTTAAGAGTAAAGGAGACAAATGGGATGGGGATGTAGGTGAGATCTTAGAACTTGGTAACTAATGGGGGGTGGTAAATTAATATTTATTACCCCAAATTAGCCTTCCCTTTTCAGCCTAATGAGTACTATCCTAAGAACAGGCTTACGTAACTCAAGTACCTTGACCTCAGTGTGTTGTGGTATCCTACAAACTTCACCTCTATATATATAGAGGAATATGCAGACGAATGAAACACTGATAGTAGTGCAATGAGAGATATGGAAAGTTAAACATTTGCTTAAAAAATGTATTTTGGGGGCTGAGGATTTAGCTCAGTGGCACAAGCACCTGCCTAAGAAGTGTGAGGTGGGAGTTTGATCCTTAGTACCAAAACAACCCAAAACAAAACAACAACAACAGAATATATTTGTTACAGTATTTCTCTCATTTTTTTTTACCTTTTGTTTTCTGATAATAGCTACTATGGAGTTGTTTTACTAACAGTTAATTTCCTACTTTACACTCTAATATTTCATCCTGTACTTCCTTATAAATATAATCAATTTCAGTAATAATACATTCTCCAGGCATTAAATACAGTTTGTGGCCAGTGATTGCACAAGTGTGGTAATGGGTACTGGAGAGCTATCAGATGACTGTTTCTGGGTTTTAAAAAAACCCACTTATATATGCTTTGGAGGGGCTTGGGCTGCCCTCAGTGGCCCAGAATACCTTTAGTTATCTGCTATCTTATATTATCTGCATTTTGTCCAGGCCATGCTGAATGCTCTCTAATCCTGTGGCTATTTTTAGGTCTTGGTCAAAAAATTGTTTTTGCCAGAGGTCATATATATCGCTATTTGGATTTCCAGTTTTTAAACCTTCCAGCTTTTAAGATCAGTGTTTTCTTATCTGCTCTCCACCTTTAAGGAATTACTGTGTTTGCCCTTCCTGTTTCCCAGAGCATCTATGAAGTAGACTTAATATTGAGTGTGTCAGTTAAACTGTATTTTGTGAAGAAGAGAAAGTTATTATATTTTGCTATGATGAATTTTTAAAAATAAAACACAAAGGGAAAAAGTAGCCTATAACTGAGATGCATTTACATTTTCCTTGAGAAGTGCAAGATACACAAATTTACCAAAAGTTTCTAGCAGTCTTCTAGATTAAATATGAGAATCTTATAAATTCTCAAATATGAATCTGCTTACTATAAAAATGCAAAATTTAGATTTTATCTTAAAATCATAATTGTTGTAAGAGTCATTTAGGAAAAGAGATGAAACCTATGGCTTCCTGCGTGTATTATTCAAGGGGCTGCTTTTCCTTTTCTCTGGTGTGGAAACAAGCAACTTCTTCACAATCTGACTTCTTTTTACTTATTTTGTGTTCTACATTGACATGGTTTAGGCGGTCCTCATTTTGATCTTTGCCTTTACTGTGGCAGCTGTACTAGACAATTGTGGGGAATGCAGAGTGTGATAAACTGCTGTGTGTGTTTAACCAGCATTTCTCCCCCCACCATGACTGTCATCAGCTGAAGAAGGAAAGGGAAGAAGTTAATGGGAACCAGAGTTGAACTGGGACACCGAATTAATGAATTTGAAGAAATATCAGTTTGGGGGCTGGGGATTTAGCTCAGTGGCATAAGCATCTGCCTTGCAAGCACATGGTCGTGAGTTCAATCCCCGGTACCAAAAAAAAAAAAAAAAAAAAAGAAAGAAAGAAAGAAATATCAATTTTAGAAGATGAAGGAAGATTCACTCCATGGGTTACAGAAATAAATATTCTGAACTGAACAGTATCTCAATATTTTAATGTAAATTTTAAAGATGTTTAGCATTACCTTAAAAAACACATAGTAATCAGTGTTGATCACCTATTGTCCTCTTTTGAAATTCTGTGTTACTTACACTGTCTTGTTTTGATTGGCTTTCTTCTGCTTTATTTTGCTTGGTTTTCATTTTAAAAACACAGTAATTAAAAGTGCAAAAAATGGAAATAGATTAATTTCACAAAATTCCTTTAA